CGAGCGATTGAATGATGCTTGCATCATTTGATGCGCATCGATTGTGCTGTCGCCATACATTTGGATCTTCGGCAGCGCACGAAGTGCTCCGAACGCACAACGAAAGCACTCGCGATGCGCATAAAATGATGCAAGCATCATTCAATTGCTCGCATAAATGTATGTCTTTCTGAACGCTTGGAATTCCCTTTTAGCCGATTAACGAAGAATTCCTTGCGATCGAGTTGTTTGGATTCAATGAAGAATTAAACATCTTAATACATGCGATAATTTAATCGGATTTCAATGCGAAACGTATTTGTGATCTGTTGCAGAATGAATTACTCACGGGCATTTGATGAGCTCAATGCCGTTGGATATTGTTTCTAAGCAAGTGAACAAAAGCCCAACATTATAATTTGACACTGAAACAAATTAATACCTTCTTCCACCGAATGTACAATAAATTACCTGTGTTGGAGTTGACTCTATGTATATCAAAATGACCATAGCTTTATAGTTTCGTCTCACGCGATTTCGATATATCAAAAGTAGCTAATGTCTTGAATATTACCCAAAATTAGCCATAATACTTGTCAAAATGCAGTCGTTTCTTTGTTTTGGCAGCTGTTTCACGCCGAATCTACTGAATTAATCGCATGGTCCGTCCAAAAAAAGCCATTAGTGATGTCTTTAGGGTAACATTCACCATCGAAACAACATCAAATGGTGAAAATGTGTACCGAAAATAATGTGATTGAAATGTAACACTTCCATTGGCGCATGACTCAAATGAAATCATTATAAAGAACAGAAATAATTGATACCTCTGGCCAAACGAAATCACCATTTTAAAATAGAGTAATTGCGACAGTCATACTTCAAAATGAGGAAATGCCCTTAAAGACCTACTGTATTCTCGTATGATCATGATTAATTTCAGTGGAATTCAACCAAAACGAATTGCAATTAGAAAAATAAAGCTTAATGACACCATTGGACCATTTAGATTAGAAAAAAAAAAAAAAATTAGTTCATTCGCGTGTCGGATGTCAATTGTCGTGATTTTATCTTGGTTTTTGTCAATTCACGTAATTTACATTCTTTTTGTTCACTCTATTCACATCGTGCTTTTATTTATTTGCGTGTCACCTGTCCTTGCCGCTTCAATGACAAAATGCATGAGCATCGACAGCAAAAGATAAGAACAATTATTCCAATGCAAGAATTGAGCTTTTCATTCAATACAATGTTAATTAAAATGCACATTGAATATCGAAAGCAATTTATTCGCATTTCATTATGTCAGCGCAATCAATCGGATCGATTTGCATGTTTCCACATAGTTAAAGCATAATCAAGCACTGGCAATGCAAAGAAGAAAGAGAGAGAGAAAATATTGTATAAAGTGTTTCGCTTGAAATGAAAATGTTAATTTCGTCGAGAGTTTAGTTTCATTAAATTGATTTTTTTTTGTGTATGCTATAATAATAATGCGCTAAAATTTTGTGTACGTTCGTTTTGCTCTTTAATCGGTGATTGGAACACATATATTTATAAAATCACATGTGTAATGGCTTGGCTGCAATTTTGATCGGCAACAGCGCCGGCGTGTGCATTAGACAATCGACAATGAAAGTAAAAAAAAATTCAACGAAAAAAATTGTTTGACGAGAAAATGCGCACATATTCCATATTGAAACATAAAAGAAAAAGTGTGTTGTGCAAATGTAAAGCAACACAGACTCAACCATATCGCGAGATCAATGGCGAAAAGAAAATCCGAAAGAAAAAGTAGATAGAATGCGCGAAATTGTGTATCACAACGCTTAAAAAAAGAAATTTCTTTTTTAATTTTTGTTTGCTTTTAAAAATAAACGATTTGTTTTATGCATTTCGTGAATGCATGTATATTAGTTTTGATTTCATTATGATCGTTTTACAAGCCCATCGACCGTGATATGAAAATGACAGCTTGCACTTGTTTACACCTCGTTTAAGACTCGAGAAAATCGAAGCGCAAGAAAACATAAGCAGCAAAGCCTGTTTTAACATATTATGTGTGTGTGTGCCGAGATTACTTTGTATATTTTACGGGCTTTGGTCTAATTCGACGAGATTGAAATCTTATTTTTAGAGATTTAATTCGAAATTTATTCAAATTGATTATGGCAATCATTTAATTTAGGCTTCTTCTCACTTTTTCTTTCTTCATTAATAAAGTAATAAAGTTGACAAAATATATACGATCAAATCCTACTTGATCAAATTTCATGTGAGTTTTTCTTAAAAATAAAATTCTCTCTTCTAAGCTTTGTTTTGTCACTTTGAACTTTGAAATTTTTACATCGAAATAAATGATTGTTTACGGTGTGACGATGACAAATCCGAGACGTTGACATGATATTGTGAAATATGACTTGATGTCAATAACACATCTATGAGCTAACAGATCGCACGATCTGTGATGTTACTAAAGTAAACACACATAAATTTTAGTGAAAATGATTGGTGTCGACCGTTTCATTTTCTGTCTTTCACATCTTCTTTTTCAAAACATGCGTACAGCTGGTTTTGGGAGGTGTCAATCGGCTTTTGTTTTGTTTACAATTCGTTTGAATAATTAATGATAAAGTCTATCAATTGAAACCTATATTTTGTAGTTGCAATTGTGACCACAATTCAAATATTTAAGCAAACTATGAATGAGTAATTGTCGAGTTCATCGAAAAAAAAAGATCGGGGACAATAAACTGTTTTGAGAATTCAAGTCGAACAGAACATTGGAACTTTATAAAAATGGAGCTATTTATTGGGCGCGTGTGCACAAGTGCGTGTACGTGACTATGGAACGCGTTTCTATACAACTTTTTTTTGCTATCTTTGCATTTGCCGTTAGATGATAATGAATACACATTTTGATACAGACGATATTGTTCGTTTGTTTTATCTGCATACACAACGTGTGCTTCATGGAATTTCAATTGATGAAAATCTGCGGAGTAATTGTTGTCTTTTTTTAAATTGGATTCAAAGGTGTGCAGTCGGAACAGACAGAATAATGATCAAATCTTTATCATCGCAATAGAGGCGTTTTGAATACATTATTCAGAAGTGTACAACAAATGTTCTAGTATGCCACGTAGAATTATGGTGTTTTTCCATCATTTCCCCGTTCGCATTTTTTTCTGCGAGAAATGAATGGTTCTGTGAATCTCTGTTATGATATGCAAAAGATATACATATATTAAATGACAGAGAATTGTGATTAAAAAAAACTGTTGCCGCCATGGATATGTCATGGGCGGATATGATTTTTAATTATACGCCGCTTCAAAAGTGTCTGTTTTGTTGGTAGAAGCGAACAAAATGTATATTATTTTGAAGCACCCGGAATCGCTGATGGATTCTCTGTCTCTCTCTTGTTTCATATGAATAATCGGATTTGAGATGTGCGCACATTTTTGGAAGTTACATTTCCAATCAAAATGCTAAATTTTAATGCGTAGATTATTATCAATTTATGATTATTGGGCTGTATGTATGTGTTGATGACCAGTGTTTTGTTCAGCATCGCTCATCATGTAATAATTCACTTAATATGATATTCATTTAGCAACTGGACATATCCAAATCAAGTCAAATCAACGTCGTATCTGATCAAAGTCACATTGAAAACACTCACCGTAACGAAGAGTAGCGTGTGAATTTCATGAATTGAGTAAAAAATTATGGAATCACAAAAATCACACCGGATGAGTGGGTTGATTACGGTCAAATAGGAATCGTAATTAAAGTGATGCTATTGGATCAGTTTCATATGGCGATGAAAAATACAATGCTGCTGTCTCGCAAACACATTTAATGATCAATTAGCGGCAACCCACTTCGAATGTCTCATTCAATTCGTCGCTTGTGTAAAACAACGATACAAAGTAGACACGATCAAGAAAGAAGTAAAAAATATGTGTATAATGGCAACCTCCATGCCATTCGTAATATTATTTCCTTTTTGAATAAGAGTAGAAAAAAAACCCATTCTGTTGTAATTTCTGTCGGTTTTGAAAGATAAAAAAGAGCGAAAAATATGAATTTATATGTGAAAACTTTTTCATTTTCACATTCAGCTCGCGGGCAAAGCGCGTCAATGCACACAAAACAATTTGTCCAAATAGGAATTAAAAAAACGAGTTGAGAATTGACTAAAACAAAGACTCATTTCCTTACAAGATTGCAGTGAATATTCAGTGCTCATTAACATTCAGTTGCATGTGTTGTTGAACAACGAAATTTTTACATTTACTTTTTCACGCGCATACTCACTGTCACACACACTCACACACAGCCGGAACAAAAAAAAACATGCAAAAACGACGGCAAAAGTCGAAAGCAGACAGAGGAACACAACGGCAAACGGGCAAAGATGCAGACAATGGCATTTGCATTTACTACGAAATAATAATAATGAAACACACAAACACTCACTCGCTCGTCTCGGATCATGCACGAACGTACGAAAGTAAACAACTCGATGACGACGACGATGCAAAAACATTTATACAAAATCTAGGCTCCCATGTCATATCTTATCTTTTGTCTTCCCTTTTTTAATTTTTTTTTTACATTTATGATTATGCAGAAAAAAATGAAGGGAAAAACGCACGTCGCATTCGAATGAGAAAACTACAGTCTAAATGAAACGAAACAAACACAATTAGCTATATAATTGAAATTATACGGAGTACATTTCATCAAATGAGTACTACTGTTTGAAGTAGAAACCATATTAATAGGACACCACTTTTACCTTATCCAAATAACACTCAAGTGTACTACGGTGATGATGTGCATCACCATAAATTTGCTTTTGAATTTGTCACGATGCAGACATGTTTTAAAAACTCAACAATTTTCAACGTGAATTGGAAATTAATGCGTGAAATATGCAGAAACCGCTACTTTGCTCTAGACATGGATGTAAAAAATCCATATAAATTTGTATCAAACATTAAGTCTGGATATCTATTGAAATCGAAAATAAATGTGCTACTTTTTATTTTCCAATGGATACAATATAAAGTAGTAGGTCGTGAAGGTTGAAGAAATAAAAATGTGTTAAAAGGACCCAATTTTTCCGATCACCTATTCGGCGGTTTTACTCAAGTCAAGACTCTTGAATGAATCGTTGCGCTTTTTCTTCGAGTTTTTCCCAAAATTCCATTGCATTTTTTCTTGGTTCTTGTTTTATTTGCAATCCATCATTGGTGATATCAAGCAATTTAATCTCATTTCCATCAATCGGATCGAAGTTTTCAATGGGTTCATTATTATGAGTTGGATTTCTGAATAAAAAATTGAGTAATTTACATTAAATTCAATATTAATTAACATTCATTTGTTCAAATACCCATATTTTGCAAAATTTGAATGCAATTTCGTTAACGATGCAATCAATTGAAGTTGAATTTTTGATTGTTCGCTATCGATGTTCTGCAGCATTTCGTCATAATAATCTTGTAAAAACGCACATCTACGAATCAATTACGTAGGTTGCTCCATAATTTTTTTTAAAATGGTACTTATAGTGTTGCCCGATGTAAACCATTGTCATATTCGTAAAGTTTGATGTTTTGGTATGTATTCGTGCCCTGAACCTTTTGTCGTACGAACGCTATTTGTATTGTTTACAGTGACTGGTAAACTGCGACTCAACAAAAAAATGAATTTTACACGTGAAGATTTTCGTAAAATGATTTACTACGATTTTCGAAGTAAATTATCTCAACAACAGTGTTTCGATCGACTTCATTTGGCCTTTGGCAATGAAGCACCAACCCTTCAGACAATTTATAACTGGTACCGAGAATTCCGTTGCGGTCGTAGTTCGCTCAAAGACGAGTTTCATACAGGTCGTCCAAAATCGGCTGTTGTGCCACAAAACATCGATGCTGTCAGAAAACTGATTATGGAAGATCGTCATGTGACCTACCGTGAGATTGAGGCATCTTTGGGCATTTCATCCCACAGCATACATACAATTTTGCATGAACATTTAGCCGTAAAAAAGATTTGCTCTCGTTGGATCCCACATAAATTGACCGATGAACAAAAAATGGCTCGTGTGAGTTGGTGTAAAGAAATGCTCAAGAAATTCAATCGTGGTGCTTCAAAAGACGTTAATAAAATCGTCACTGGTGACGAATCGTGGATATATGCCTATGAGCCCGAAACGAAACAGCAGTCGACTGTATGGGTCTTCCAAAATGAAGATAACCCAACGAAAGTTGTTCGAGCAAGAAGCACTTCGAAGCGAATGGTCGCCTGTTTTTTCGGGAGAAGTGGTCATGTGGCAACCGTTCCACTAGAGGATCGTAAGACCGTCAATTCTGATTGGTATACCACCATTTGTTTGCCCGAAGTGTTTGGTGAAATAAGAAAAAACAACCACCGTCGCAAAATAATTCTTCATCACGATAATGCGAGCTCTCACACATCTTTTCAAACTACTCGATTTTTGACCGGTCAAAACATCGAACTGATGGGTCATCCACCGTACAGTCCTGACCTGGCACCCAATGACTTTTTTTTGTTCCCAAGCGTGAAGAAAAAACTACGTGGTCAACGATTTTCGACACCAGAAGAAGCAGTTGAAGCGTTCAAAACACACGTTTTGGAGATATCAGTTTCGGAGTGGCACGAATGCTATGACAAATGGTTTCATCGAATGCAAAAGTGTATCGATCATCTCGGGGAATATTTTGAAAAACAATAAAACCATTTTCGACAAAAAACAACTGTGTTATATATGTTTTTAAAAAAAATTATGGAGCAACCCTCGTATTACTAATTAATTACGCTAATAAACACATATAATTTTTTTTATTGAAATAAGTATAATTACCTAAGCACATAGCAAGTTTCATCAACATGAGCTGCTCCAGGAATATTCTGAATATTCATAAAATCTTTTACAAAATATCCCTTAAACACATTCAGCTTGGTATCTCCAGAAAATCTGAAATATATTTAAAAAATAAATATCTTCGAAATAATAAAAAATTCCATGTTGAAAATCTAGCACTAATTTTACCGTGTGTAAAACGCTCTGCCCTTTGATTTTTTCTGATGCATTTTCGCTGCCTTATAGTTGGGATAGACGAAATTTAAATCGCTTAATAAATTAATGTACTCCATCATCATTTGTTCGTTAATCACAGCATCTCCAAAATAAAATTTACGCACTTCATTGGCTATTTCACGATATTGCTACAATCATAAAATTATCACTATTTCATGAAGTGTTTCAATCAAATAAAAAAATGCTTACATCCGATTCAAATGAAAAATTAAAATATCTAAAAGGTAATTTCAATGTAAAATTAGTATCCAGATCATAGACATCATATTGTTTCAATACGTATAGAGTTGTGAATAATCCCAACATTTCCTATCGAAAATGCAGATAAAAAAATATGCTACACATTTCGCGAATGTTCAAAATGATTGTTTGTACACTAACTAAGGAATCAGTAGAAAATATGATGTCGGTATCGATGTTTGATGTTTCTAATATTTTTTGCGGTGAAATAACCATAAATGGTTTCTTCGCATCACTTCCTGTAATAATACAACCCCCAAAAAAATTGAATATTCGACATAGGACTGAAATAGTGAAGAATTAGTGAATTACTAACTTTCAATAACTGGACCAATTGGGAAATATAATGTCCTATAAAAGTTTGAAAGATCTTGTGGCCACTGTCTTACTATATCTTCTGCCGGTACAGATTTGAGAAGGTCAACTAATTCATTTACAGAATTTTGTGGTTTCCCCAAATCAGCAGCGAACTCATACGCCCCAGATATCATATCCTTTTGGCTACCAAATGACCAAATATTTTCAGCTGTTCCACTTGTCAAAATTGCGTTATGAATAAATTGTCGTGATTCATTTGATAATAAATGGAAATGACAAGATGCTCCACCTGTAAATCAAGAGTTAACCTGTTTCAAATGTTCATAAATAAAATTATACGATTAACGATGCACTTTCCAGCACTTCCTCCTATGCATGTGATCCTTTTATTGTCACCATAAAAATGTCCAATGTTTTTGTGTACCCATTTCAATGCTAATTGTTGATCTTTCAATCCCATGTTACCCGAATACTCGGGTGTATCGAGTGATAAAAATCCAAATACACCCAAACGATAGTTAATCGTTACGAAAATTACGTCTTGTTCCATAAGAAAATCAGGGCCATTATAAAAGTCGTTTCCATTTCCTTCAACAAACCCCCCGCCATGCATAAGAAATATGACAGCAAGTTTATTGTCGGGTTTTGCATGAGCTATTTATCGAAAGAAAACAAGAATATTTAAGTTTCATTTAAAATGGGCCATTTGGTATTTGAAACTTACCTGGGACATAGATATTCAAAAAAAGACAATTTTCATCTTTTGGATAATCACCAAAAGGAATTCCAGTCTCTGAACAGCAAACGTTTCCAAATTCAAAAGCATCGTGAATTTTCGGTGACCATGGTTTTTTCGGTTCGGGTGGCTAAAACGAGGAAATTTACAAGCATTTCGAATACGTAAACGTTTCTATTTAACAAACTTCAAATCGTAACTTTCCGACTGGGGGTTCCGCATATGGTATACCCTTGAATGAATAGTAATCTATATTTTTCATAAGTGTCGTTTTTCGAATGCCACGAATTTGGCCATCGAACGTGTCAACCGTTCGATAATCGTCAACAACTGCATTCGTCCAAGAGAACGATACACAAACGATAAATGGAACTAGAAAAATTCGTAAGACACACATAATGACCGTAAATCAAATACTGAACTTCGAATTGAATACACGAAACAATATATACTCTTGGTGATCAACATTTATTTTTATTTCGAAATTCATTATTATCTTGAATGATAAAATAATTTGTTTAATTCATGTGGGCGTATAAATGTTTGAGGGTTACGTTAACAAATGTTATGTATTTAAATTAATGATTAGTTGAATCGGTTAGAATATATTGTGAGCTCAGGAAATTTGTTAAAGTAAAAGAGCAATATGTTCGAGTTCATATAAAAAATGTATGGGCACGTTGCAGTTTTATTTTGACAAATTTCTTAAGGTCACGAATATTCTAGCCGGTTCAGTTCTGGAAGTGATGCAAAAGCTTCGATCCATTTGTCTTCGTTCAAATAAACAGTAATAATGCATTCAGATTTTCATTCAAAATGATTGTTTTCGATTTTCTGTCCATGATTATTTCTGTGCATTTGCTTTAAGTTGACTCCAAAATTCAATAGCCTTTTCCCTTGGATTTATTTCAAGCTTTAAACCTTTATTGCTGATATCAAGATAATTAAATACATCACTTTGAACTGGCTGAAAACCTGAGATCAATTCATCTCTGTATGTTGGCTCTCTAAAAATAACCAAATTGCAAGTTTGTTTATCTTAAGCGGTGTGAATCATGTAATACCCATGCTTAGCAAAGTTGGAAAATAGACGGGTCATATATTCAATGGTGTTACGGCTAATTTTCGTTTGTTCACTGTCCACATTTTTCAAAACAGCGTCATAATAGTTTTGGTAAAGATTGCAACTGCAAAAATACGCATTTAAAAACATCATTTTTCAATTTAAAATACAAACTACCGGAAAAGATAACATTCTGCATCATAATGAGATGCTCCTGGTGTGTGCGCTCGATTTGAATGATGGATTTTTTCTGGCACAAGCACCTTCAAGAAATTCAATTCAGAGTCCACAGAAAACCTAGTTGAAACAAGTATAATCGGAAATTGTTTGCAAAATATAGACTGTAATTGAAAGAATGACTCGTAATTTCTGCCTTATTTGATGCATTAAATGTTAATCAAATGAGTATAAACATAAAAAACACGAACAAGTCGAATTATGTGTCGTTGAATTTACCGAATGTAAAATGCACGCCCATTTGATGTTTTTCGATGAAGTTGAATTGAATTTGCGGTTGGATAAACAAAATTGATATCACTTATTAAATCCATGTATTGCATCGCAGTGCTTTCATCAATAACACGCTTCCCAAAGTAAAATTGTCGCACTTGTTTTGCCAACTCACGGTATTCCTATGTTCAATTTAAGAAAATCAAGAAATTTATTTCGAATTCATTGGATAAATTATAAATATTTACATTCGATTCGAATGACAAATTGAAATTTCGAAACGGTAACTTTAGAGTGAAATTACTCTCCAAATCCCATATTTTGTACTGCATAAATGGATAAATATATAGAAAGTAATAGATAGCCTCCTTTAAAAGAAGACAAAAAAAACTATAGAAAAAACACGAAATAAAAACAATTTAAGCGGTGATACTAACTAAAGAAGTGTGATAAAATACGATGTCAGTATCAATGTTGGACTTTTTGTAGATTTCTTCCGGATATTCCACCAAGAATGGATGATTTGCATTATTTTCTATTTGGAAACAAAGCAAAAAATGACAATCACACAATATTTTTTATAGATTTGTTGTGACAACGCACTTTCAATAATCGGCGAAAATTTGAAATTCATTGTTCGATAAAAACTACTCTCATGCATTGCTGTGTATTTGATTTTTTCCGCGGGTATCGTTTTGAAGTATTCAATCAACTCTTCAATTGTGGTTTTTGTTTCATTCAATGCATCAGCGATTTGAAATGCCAATGACGTATGATTATGCACTTCGGACAATGACCAAATACTATCTGCCGTTCCACTCATTACGATTGCATTACGAAAATATTGTCTTGATTCATTTGATAACACATGAAAATGTGCCGATATACCACCAGCACTATCACCAAAGACAGTGATTCGTTTGTTGTCACCGTGAAATTGATCGATATTCTCATAAATCCATTTTAATGCCAATTGTTGATCTTTTAAGCCCATATTTCCCGAATATTCTGGCATATCGAATGACAGAAATCCAAATACTCCCACACGATAGTTAATAGTTACCAAAATTACGTCCTTTTCGATGAGAAAATCGGGACCATATATATCATCGTTACCGGTCCCTGAAAGTAATCGGGATTCATATTTTGTTTCGGCTCTTAAATTATAATTGAATTGTTTTACCATCAAAAAAACCACCGCCAAATATCCAAAACATTACAGCCAATTTATTATCCAATTTACCACTGGCTGGTACATAAATATTCAAGAAGAGGCAGTTTTCATCTTGTGGATAGTCATCATTCGAAATTGTATTTGGCCGAATGCATGTGTTACCATGCTCGAATGCATCAAGAACATTTGACCATGGTTCTCGAATCGGTTCTGGGGCCTAATTAAATTGGAAAATTTCCGAAATATATCACAATGATCACGGAAAATGATCACGGAAAACAACTGACTTTAAATCTTAGCTCTCCGATCGGTGGCTCCGCATATGGAATACCTTTGAATGAATAATAATCCACATTTTTCAGAAGAGATGATTTTTTAATACCACGAATTTGACCACAATTCGTTTCAACTGTTCGATACTCTTCTGTTACTATCACTCTCGGTGCACAAACCACAAAAAATGTGAACACAAATAATAAAGCACTCATATCGATCAGCTAACATTTGATACTATGTTCAAGTCTACTTTGTACGGTCATTTTATTAGACGCCGACTTAAAATTCTACAAATCATCATCATTTTTTTTTTTTTTTTTTTTTCAAAAAATTGCTACTTTTAAATGAAAGCACCAATTGTCAGTCTAAAAACATGAAATTAAATCAAATGATTTTATTTAATTGAAGAAAAAAGTATTTTTTTATATATTGCTGATTAAAAATCTAAAAGAGAAAAAAAAACGAAAAGTTTGTGCATTTAATTTAACAGCACTTTATGACAAATACATTTTAAAGAATGTTTTCGTTCATTTTTAATTTGAAGTTTCATTTTGTTTATTTGCTTCAATCATAAGTCGTTGAGCTTGAACTTCGGTTCGATGCCAAAAATCCATGACACGTTGTCTTGGATTCACTCCCAACTTCAGGCCATCATTGGTAATATCCAGAAAATTAAATTCACCACTTTTTATGGGACGGTATCCGGGGATTAAATTATTTTTATGTGTTGGTTCTCTGTAATGTGAATGTCATCAATCAAATCACAATTTATTTTAAAAGTTTGTCGATATTCACGCCAAAACATACCCATATTTTGCAAAATTTGAAAATAATTTCGTGATATAAGCGATTGTTCGTAGATCAATTTCGGATTCCTTGTTTTCCACATTTTTGAGTGAATCATTTAAAAAGCGATCGCAAAAATGATTTCTGTGGCGCAAAAATGTTATTAATTTCCACTTAAATATTAAAGCATTGCTTGTTATTTACCTAAATATGTAACACAGTTCATCGGAATGTGAAGCTCCTGGTATATCCATAATATTTAGTTGACGTTTAAACAAATTTAATGTTGAATTAACGGAAAACCTTTTGGATAAAGAATAAAATGCAATGAATCACAACTAAAATGACGAACGAACAAAAGGTAAAGAAAAGAAATTGACTAATTACCGTATGTAGTACGTGTTTGCTTTCTGTCGATGAAAATCCATCGTCTTGTAATTGGGATAGATGAACGAAATGTCACTTTTCATTTCGGTCAATTGTGATAAGGTTTCTTCATTGATCAATTCATTTCCGAAATAGAATTTTCGAACTAATTTTGTGATTCGAGAATATTCCTACAATATTCAGATACATTGCTGGTAATGTTTTTGATAAAACCAAATTGAGCTGAAAACTTACTGAAGAATTTACGGGAAAATTAAAGTCATCCGAAGGCATCGATATGGTAAAATTGATAGTTGGTTCCCAATCGTTAATGAATCTTTGATAAATGACTAGAAAGGCCTGTGCTTCCTTGAAAAGAAAGAAAAATCGCATTGACGTAAAATTAAATATGCAATTTCATACATACATGTGAGGTGTGATAAAAAATAGCATCTCGATTGATATTTGATGTACGATATATTTTGTGTGCAGGCTCAACCATGAATGGATTTTTTGCATCTTTTCCTAAAATCAAGCAAAAGAAATGAGTGTCACCATTTATTGAATTGTATTTAAAGTATTACTTTCGATAACTGGAGCAAACTTAAATCGATTTATGGCGATAAAGTCATCCAGATATATATAACTGGCGAGTTTATCGGCTGGTGCTGATTTCAAGAAATCAATTAGTTCATCCATTGAATTTGTTGTATTTCCCAGTTCTTCGGCAATATGATTCGCCACGGATATGTGATTCTTTTCATTGGACAATGCCCAAGGGCTTTGAGCTGTTCCGCTCATTATAATCGCATTATGAAAATACTTTCGTGATTCGCTTGATAGGACATGGAAATGAGTTGAAACACCACCAGCACTCTCACCAAAGACTGTGATTCGTTTGTTGTCACCATAAAAGTATTCGATATTCTCATGTATCCATTTCAAAGCAAGCTGTTGATCTTTCAACCCCATATTCCCCGAATAGTCGGGCGTGTCAAGCGATAAAAATCCTAAAGCACCCAGCCGATAGTTGATTGTTACCAATATGACATTTTGTTCGATTAGAAAATCGGGACCAAAGTAACTTTCGTCACCAGAAAGTTCAAGAAATCCACCGCCATGTATCCAAAACATAACCGCTAGTTTGTTATCAGGTTTTGCCGTGGCGGATGGTACATACACATTCAAGTAGAGACAGTTTTCACTTTTTTTATGGCCAAAACTTAGAAACGTTTGACCAAGGCAGCTGTCTGAATGCTCAAAAGCATCAAGAACATTTGGCCATGATTCAATCGGTTCAGGTGCCTATTTGTTCAAAAATGTTGTTCGAAGCCAAATGACAAATCATCTATATACATATAATTGAAATTGAATGCTTACCTTGAATCTCAATTCTCCAATTGGTGGCTGTGCATATGGAATGCCTTTGAATGCATAAAAATCAATATTTTGAAGCATTGTTGTTCGATTTATTCCACGAACTTTCCCAGATTTCGTTTCAACGATTCGATATTTTTCAATCACTGCACTCGATGCTAAGTGAATACAAATTAAAAGTATACAAGTATACAAATAAGTGTTTGATCTAGTGGAATTTTTCATAGTGAACTTATTTTGATGTAACCAAATCGAATACTGAATTAGATGTCACTCAGATACTTTTTTATATAGCATCGTATTAGCTTACAATCAGATTAATCAGCTCTTGTTTTGTATATTTATCTCATATATCGGAAGTTACGTGTATGTGTAACAAAAATGAATTTACAACCATCAAATTTTGTTCCAATCAGTTGTAAATGTCACAATGGTATGAGTGAGTAATTTGTACAATTTTTATACGATTTGTTCAGGAAATGTTGTCTATGACAATATTTGTGGTGGATTTGTATCAATTTTGTTGATTGTTCATATAAATGGCGTAATGCGAGCCAAAATAAATGAAAATAATAAAGATGCTAATGTCACCATGAAACATCAATTCTTCCAAATGCCATAAACATTTTTTCAATTTTATTTCCATGCCACAGTGTATCATTTTTAGCAGAACTAATTGTATTTTTGAATTATTAGTCCAAATAAACGAGCTAGTTCTTAATTACTGTTTTTCAATGTTGTTTGAAAAACAAATCTCAAAATGATCGTTTTATCAGAATATTACATTTTGAAATTGAAATTAATCACTTTAAAAAATAGAGGATGTTATGATATGTAAGCATGAAATGATCAAAATAATCAACTGAACCGTGCTTGCTAAATTTTAAACACGTTAAATTTTCATTGAGAAATTTTCATTACACAAACATTCAGAAACATTTGCTTTAAGCACCCTTGACAGGAATGAGTGTAAACGGACGATGGTATTTGCTAACATATTCGAAAGTGTCTAAGATTGACCTGATTCTGTAAGCTGGGGTACATATTACATATTTTGTCAAATACCATTTTCAATTTCTAAAGCCACTCGATCTAATGGTCAGAAATTTATTTTCATCAGTCACAGCTACTGTTCTAGTAGTCAATGTACAGTTATAGAATATACTTGATAAAATCACCAAACCGTTTATTGCGAATAAATCGAAAATTGCAGCGCAAACTTCATAAACCGAGCATATTATAGTATTCCAAACATATGGTCATATGTTTTTTGCAAGGGGCATACTACTACAGTTTCGTAATTCTTACAATTCAATCTAGTACCCCGATAATTCTAAATAATTCCGTATAATTCCATACAATGCCGCATAATTCTCAACAGTTTTTGAAGTGTTTTAAATAGTTGTTTATTTATAAAAAAAATTTCGATGAATATTCATATTTTAATGATAACATTTTTCCACAGTTTTGTTAATAGTAAAAAGTGTGTGTAGTTTTGTATTAAAATAATTTGTTGGATTTCGTTTTATTAGTTGTCATCGATTTTACGGAGCAAAACATTCAATGCAAAACAGAGAAGCGATTGTGTGAAAGAAACAATACATGCACAATCAGGACATGTACGTTAAGCGTTTACATCACAGAGACGAAGAGGAGTAGTGTGCGCATGTATTAGAGTTGTCACTCAGTTCAGATGCAATTGCCAGTTCTCTTTTGCGCTGAATGTTTTGCTTTGTGAAATCGATGATAACTAATGAAATGAATTCAAACAAAATATTTAAATATTCTAACTTTGAACAAAAAATATGGAAAATGTTATCATTGAAAAATGAATATTCATCGAAAAAAATTATATAAATAAACATGTTTAGTTGCAACTATTTAAAACACTTCAAAAACTATTGAGAATTATGCGGCATTGTATGGAATTATACAGAATTATTTGGAATTATCGAGGTACTAGATTGAATTATGAGAATTACAAAACTGTAGTAGTTTGCCCCTTGGTTTTTTGTGCACACAGTTCATTTTGAATAACTTATTCAAACGAAAAAAAATAACATTCATAACATTATTCAGTATGAAGTATGACAAATAATTTAATTCATTTATTAGACTCTATAATATGTATAAAAAAATTATTTGCGCCAAATAATAATTAAAACATGCCAACAGTGAACAAGTGCATTAGCAAATTATTTTCAATAATTTAAATAAAAATGTGAATATGAATATTTCATGGTGAATGTCATCAATTGCGATATTTTCGATGTGCCAAACCAATCGTCATCGTGAATATGATTATTATTTGCCATTCAAATTGTGCAAATGCGTGACTTGAGTGTCTCAAATGGATGTGTTCACAAGCGCTTGAAAAGAAAGAAAAAGAAATGAAAATATACGATACAAACGCTAAATGACGTTTGTTTTTTTCTTGCAGCTCACTCGCACATGCACAAGATAATAAACAAGTGATTTGAGAACGGCATTGCCTTGAAACAAACATTTTTAATTAGAGTATAGCGATAGTAAACAGTATTTTTAGCAGAATGCGAACGAAAATCAAACGTCAACAACGTTAAACAAAGTACGGCAGACGATTTATTCAAAATACAGTGAGATAGTTTAAGTGCGCTTCAAAAATGATGGGCGTTTTGAGAACTAAGCAAAATTTATAATTGATTTGATTCAATATTCAAATGTGTTGAAAAAAAGCCACATGTTCAATAAGAATCGATTCCACCAGTGAAAGATTGTTGACATTAAATAAATGCGAAACGTAAATAAATCAAATGCAGAAAATGCGCGAAGCAATTGTTCGCAACAAAATCGAACAGAAACATTATTTTTGGGGTGTGGTGCAAATGAATTTTGATAAATAAATAAAATCGAAGCGTAATTGTTGACTTTTGTTAATAGCGTGCCACATTGAACAATTAATTTTGCGTCAACGTTTATTTTTTTCACGATTGCATCGCTGCGATGACATGGAAAGAGAACTGGCTTGATTTGCATAAATATTGCTCGTGTGAACAAATATCTTGTTTATAACAGAAATTACAGCATTAAATATAAATTATTCAAAATAAAATGTTGACATCGATCGCATAAATTTTCCTTGTCCGACGACTAGATGCATACATTTCACGCTCTCAACATCACCATATGAATAGAAAATGTGGTTAATTAATAACTTGCATTGCCCTCAATATCAAAGTCATTTGTAGTTTTCTTCTCTCTTTTTGCTGGTCGATCTTAACTAGATGTGAACAACGTAATGAATTAATTTTCATGCGAGACAATAAAGCATGGCAGAATGCAGCCACTTGGCAAGCGATCGATTTCCAAGCGACTCTTTTTTTTATCGGATCTTAAACCAATAAAATATTGTCGTTGTGGTTTGTTTCGACAACCATTTGGCCGTTTTCGACAAAAATGGAGCCGCATTTGAACCGAAGCACTTCGAAGAGAAGAAGAAAAACGGCGCAATTCGATATGGCTATTTATAAAATGAAAACGTAACAATGTCAACATAATAAATACGTAAAATTTAATATTTTTCAAACGACAACTGTTGTTGTCACATTCACTCTGTCTCAATCGCATATATTCTTTCCATTTTGTTGCATACATTTTATCTCATTTTCCATTTCGTTTTCGTTGCGTTCAAATGCACCATAATTCATTTTGTGTCGCTGTTTGTAGTGTCATTGCTCACAGCACCGTGAGATGCAAGTAAAAGTAAAATAAACGAGCTAAATGTTTAAATATATATCATTTGTACGAAGCATGTAAAACTGTTTACATTTGCCGTTGTGACTAAAACGAAAGTAATGAAGGCACGTTGCGATGCAACATTGTTGAAAAAAAAAACTCTTCGTTTCGATTAGAAAACTAAATAAAATATATGGGTCAAATATATGCAACCACAAGTGACAGTTGATACGTCAACAACACGCACATGTGTATTCCTTCATTTTCACCGGGACCATGAAGCTATGAAGGTGAATAGAAAACCAACAAAACCAATACGCCAATTTCTATACAATTCGGTTGCTTGTGAAACACATGTACAAAAGTCAACAGAACAAAAACGTTTCAGTTATACAGTGTTTGAATAGATCGCCTACGAACGATATTTTCAATAGAATTATTTATTAGGTGTACTATTTCGATTTTTTTGTCACTTAAGCTGGCCGACAGTAAATCAGACGTCGGATGGTCGTTGATGCAGTGTTCGTGATAAAGAAAAATATGGGCAGATCACGTTGATCACAGTCAAAATGTGATCGATTATCTTTCACTTTGGTTGATTAAAAAACAAATTACAGTGCATTAATCTTCGAAATGCCGGCAGATAGTTGCGATGAAGTTGGTATTTCGTTATCAAAACGATGTCATAATTATCTACTTGTATAATGTTGACACAAAGATCTGTGGGTCGATGATGCATGTTTGCATTTCAGTTTTCCATCAAAATAATGGCATTTTCACTATGCTTCTCGCTCTCACAGTTGATAAAGTGGGAGCATTTAATCATATATCACTTTCAGAAACAACAAAATATGTGAAACACCTAAAAGTAGTCTGCATTCAATTCTGCCGGTTCTTTGACTCAAACGTATTTTGTACAAAAAAAGATGATGGTTTTTGTTTGGCCATACAATGTGTTGTGGGTTGGCAAATGATCCGTGTGTGTCATTCATTCATAACAACTATGGCATTTCTTTCGGTGTGTATACCAATAAATTATATGGATATTTACATTTCGATGGTGATTTCAAATATAAAAATATTGTTTGAAAAAAAAGACGTTTTAAACATTCCATTTGAAAACAACAAAGAAAAATATGAAAAACAACCGAAATGCGTTGGAGGTGATTATTGCATTGACACACCGAGACACATACGTTGAACTGTGTGAGCAGTCGATTAGTTTTTAGGCGAGCCATTTACCGTCGTAAAATTGCGGATTTTATTGTAAAATGCATTTCATAGCCATATCCAATGAAATGAACAAGAATGCGCTTTACGAGCGTGGAAGCAGTTCATGACTTAGCAGCAAAACGAGTTTCAATGGAAATGAATTGAATGAACGCGAAGCCACCATCAGATCTATTGATTCCAATTTGGAATTGAATTTAGAAATGATTGCACAATTGAAATATGTCACACGCACACATTTATTGAACGAAAAAAGGGGAGAGAGATATCGAGACGTGGCCTATCAATTAAATCCATTTTCGATTCAAACAAGACCTAATTGGAGAACAATGATCCATAACAAGCGATTCATTTGCTTCGAATTAAATGCCATTTTGAAAATGTTGCTACTGTATGTACAGCGTATGTGATAATTCTCTAACGATTTTCGAAAATTTTATGGAATCCACACTAAACAATATCCGCCCGACACTGCTGACTTTGCGTGTTTATCATCCAAAACAGATGACAATAAAAAAAAGCCACTGAAAACAGTTGCGTGTCAATAACAAGCACCATTTTTTGTAAAAGTGCCAACAATAATATACAAAGTGATGTTATTATTTGGGTGTGTGTCAGTCGTATTCTTTTGCTGATTAAAAATTCAACGAACTGGACGACGCAAAAATGGCAATGGGAAAATGTGTAGTTTTTTTCTTCTTTTTTACTCAACATCAGAACAATGACTGTATATAATTTGTAATTTTTTTAATCGTGGTTAAACCCACCAAAAAATGCTGGCTTAATCCAGTCAAATGCGCATAAATTCAACAAAAGAATACAATACTTTAATTCGCAAACCTTAATTCTCTCTATTTTACGAATTAAAATGCAATTGAGTTTGTCTGCTCTCGACGTAAGCTCAAAATTGGCAACAGGTGGAATTGTACTAACTCGCTTGTATGCCATAATTTCAAGTGAATAACAAACACACACACACACACACACACACACACACACACACACACACACACA